GCGCCTCCTCCGCGGGAGGGCACGTCCCCCGCCAACTCCCAGTTTGAAGACTGTGTAACGCTGGTGGGCTCAGGAACGGCCGGCTCCGGACTACTTGTTTAAAAGTTTTCAGAGACCAAAAGTTTGGTTGGGACAGCAGAGGGATCCGGCCTCGCCGCTGCTTTCGAGACTATGGGGGACAATTTGCATCTCAATGGCGGTGGAGGCGAGGGCAGAATGGGAGAGGGAAACCGTGTCCGAGGAGTTTGGGGCCGGGGACGTGGGAAGGAATAGTCCAGGCCAAATCTGGACCACCCCAGGGCGGTGACACTGTGCCGTGGGCAGCGATGGGTGCATCTTTGTCCTAACGTCTTGGCTCCGGGGAGTCCAGCTTTCAAGGCTGAGAGGGACGAGGCCTGGCACCCTAAGCCGCGACTTCTAGGGCACTAGACTCGAGGGACTGTGGCGCCTCCTCTGCAGCCTCAGCCAAGAAGCGCGGGGCTCCCCAGGGGACAGCCAGCCAGACGCCTGGCGTGCTCCCTCAGAGGGACTGCGTCTGTATGTTCTGGTCACCACCTCCCTGTGTCCCCGGAGCCGCCACCTAAGGTGGCCCCGGAAAAGGCACGCAGGTCATGGAGACCCGTTGGCAGCGCCGGCAAGGCCTCTCCCACGTGCCCCTTCCGGATGATTTATTTCTCCACTGAGCTGCCAGGCTTGGGCATCCTGTGCCAAAACCGGTTAACCTCTGGGTGCCCAAAATGACTACCCTGGTCCCTGCAGCAACCAAAGCTCAGTGGAGCGGACCGACAGCATCCTCCCATACCAGCATGGGCTGGAGCAGGACCCAGGTGCCCGCGGGAGCATGGGAGCCCGGGATGTCCTGTAATAGGTGCAGTGGAGGTGAAGGACCAGGTGCTGGGCAGTGGAGCAAAAGGGCTGCAAGCCCTGGAGGTGAGGGAGGCAGCCCTTGCCCTGGGAGGCCGGAGAGGTGGGCAGTGTTTTCGTGTCTCGGCACGCAGTCCGGTTCCTGGAGCACACACAGGGGTCCAGGCCCTGGCAGCTGCTGCCCCCGCTCCTCCCAGACAGAGGCAGCAGTTCCAGGTCAGTGGCCCTAAAGAAGGCGCCGAGACATCAGAGATGTTTATGTAACACAGCGGCAGCCAGAGAAGCGGTTGCCATAGAAGGAAGAGTTGCAGTCTCGCAGTTGACGGGCTCTCAACCCCGCTTGTCCCTCTATTCCTATGGACAGGGATCTGGGGCCTTGGCTGCCACTGCCTGTGCGGGAGCCCTGGTTGGGCCAGGGGGCCCCAGGCCAAAAGTACCTGTCCTGCAGCCTGGCTTGGGAGCCAGGCTTCAGCCCTCTAAAACAGAAGGGGAGAGAGCCCAGCGCACTGCCTCACCCTGGGCCCCTCTGGTGCCCACAGCACATCTGCTCTGGCCTCAACTCTGCCAGCAGACAGGAATGGCCTCCTCTGGCCGCTGCTGACTACTTACCCAGAGGGGGCAGAAGCTTCAGCCTCCAGCCTCTGCATGACCTGCCTCTGGGGCATCGAGGGGGACAACACAGCACCCTGGGGAGAGCTGGGGCTGAGGAGAGGCCAAGGGCAGGCAGTGGAGCCCTGTAGCCATCCCTCCCTTGGGCCTGGTAGGGTTTGGCCCCTGGCAAGAGGGTGTGAAGCTTTTCATTCACAAATTAGGCCTGGGGTTTCTGCAGCCTGTCACTGCCAGACCAGGGGCCCATCCTGATGACCTGGCCTGAAAACCTTCTCTGGGCCAAGTGGCCTGGAATGGCTTGTAGTGGGCATTGCAGGGCCACTGGGGAAGCGGGGGAGAAACAAGGGAGGCATACAGCCCCATCTTCAGAAGCCCAGTAGGAAGGGGGTGGCACCCCAAGAAGCCAAATAGAGGCAGGTACAGCAAGGCCTCCAAGGTGGGAGGTCACTTCCACCAGGACGGGGTGCCCAGGGCATGCCTGGCAGGACACTGAGTGCATTGTCCACTTCTAGGCCGGCTACCCCCTGTGCAAGGCAAGGCCGCAGGATGGCCTGCAAAGGGAAACGAGCATCCTGGGGCTGCCTCTTCTCCAGGGCCACCTGCAGGTTAGGGTGGGGAGGCCACAGGGGGGTTGTCATCTGGAGGGGTTGGGTGAGTCCATTGGGCTCTGCCAGGGCACAGACCTATACCTAAGCCGGAAGGTCTCCTGCGCCAGAAGCTGGGCTCCTCCAGAAGACGGTGAGGGCACCCAAGGACGCTATGGGGTACCTGCCACAGGCTCAGCCCCAGGGGCCGGTGGAGCCCTGCAGTCACCAGGTGACCTCATCATCTACAGCGACCAGGGGGTTAAAGTTCTCTGGGAGCCTCTGTGTTTCCCTCCCCGTGAAGGAACCCATCTTGGCCTCTGCATGGTCTACACTCTGGTCAGGCCTGCACACCAGCCAGCCCACAGTGGGGCTTCGGTTTTCTCTGTACTGTGATTTCTAAGATCCTGGCTGCCTTTTCCTACTCAAACAAAACTACACGTTTCCTGGAGACGTGAGTGGCTTCCATGGCCTGTGGCACTGTCCAGACAGGCAGGTCAGGCTGGACACCCAGGCTGTGTGTGGGGCTGGGGCTGCGTCCTAGCCTTCTGCCTCGTGCAGGAAGTCCCCAGGTGACCTAGTGTTCACCTGCACCCTCTCTGCATGGCTTTGCAGAGCTACATGGATGTGCCTGACCTGGAACTGGTAGAGGACAGAGGGACATGGGTCCTAGGCCACCTGGCCTGCTCATGAGCTCCTCAGGACCATCACCTGGCCTCCCCCAAACCTATTAGGGTGTGGCCTCAAGCAGCCCTGGGGACCTGCCCTTATTGGGCTCAGCTGTAAAGACAGTGGCCCCCATATGTGGCCACAACTCTGTTGAAGGACCTGTCTGTATGCCATCCTGGCAGTCCCCACTCGGATGTCCCAGAGCCAGAAGCCCAGGAGTATGTTGCCCGGGCAGATCCTCAGACAGTACCAGCTGCAGAGCAGAGGAGCTGCTGAGATCTGACTGGCATGGCCCAGGCCGGTATGGTCCAGCTACAGAACAACCCTTCCAGGTGGCCTGGTTCTGTCCCCCTAGAGTTGGTTGGCCAGAGGCTGGGTAACCATGCCAGCCTCTGGGCTCAGAGCCACGCGCCTGTCCCTGATGCTCAGAGCACAGTTCCCACTGCAGGCACAGGAATGACAGCAGGTGGCCCTGGCACTCTGAGGAGCAGGAACGTGAACTGCCCTAAACCTAAGCTGGGCTGGGCTGGGCTGGACTTCTCAGGGTTCAGGACCCACTCCTGGGGCTTCTGGGGTCCAGATGAGGTTTAAGGCAGAGCCCAGCATGATTCCCACCTGGGTCCCCTGAGAAGCTGCCAGGCCCACTCAGATCAGGGACTTCAGGAAGAGGGGCCTGGGCAGGAGGGCGCTGTGCAGGGGCTGAGAGCAGACCGTGAGACCTCCTGCTGTGCATTGACCATCAAGTGAAGGGTACTAGGACCTGAGCAGGGTGGTGGCTGGGCCAACCATGAGGTCTGCCTGACCCCCACTCTCAGACCCAGGGTCTCAGCAGCTGGGGCCCTAGGGCCCCTCTGAGTTTTGGGGGAGGGGAGGTAACACCCAACACCTGACCTGGCCCCCTGCCCACAGTGGCTCAGAACTTTCTCCAAAAAGAAAAGGCCCCAGGGGACGGAACTGCAAGGCCCTCCCCTCGAAACTGCGAGGCCCCACCCCTTGGCTCATGCCAGCTCAGCCCCAGTGGCTGAGTCACCGAAGGGCTCCCTCCCTGGTGCCCTCCCTCCTCCTCTCCCTCTTCCTTCCTTGCCTCTTCCTCCCTCCCTTCCTTCCTCTTTTCTGTCCTGCCTTCCTTTTGAGGGGCAAAAATATCCAGAAAGTTGTTTTAAACAGTCCCTGTTAGCCAGGCAAGGTGGCACAGGCCTGTGATCCCAGCACTCTGGGAGGCTGAGGCAGGAGGATGGGTTGAGTTCCAGCCCAGTGGGGCCCACTTAGTGACCTAGCAAGATCCTGTCTCAAAATAAAAAGTGAAAGAGTTGGAAATGTGGCTCAGTGCCAAGGTTCTGGGTTCAATCCGCAGACCCACCCTCTCTGCAAGTGCTCCTTTAAATTTTTCCAGGGACCCCACAGGCTTCCCGAGAGGCGGGACCCACTCTCCTTGCTGGGCTGTCCTGGGTAGGGGTCCCTCAGGGGGCCTGGGTTTCCTGGAATTTGCTCCAGACACATTTAGACATGTTTAGAGCTTCCGTCCTCCCCCACATTCCCCCCACAGCCCCCTCTTAAAAAGAAAATGGGCCTGAGATGGGGCTTGGGTTACAGGGAGCACAGGGAATTGTGTCGGCCCAGGGACGGGGAGCTCAGACATTAGCAGGTACCGCACATCTGCGAGCTATTTTCGGGTCCCCAGGGGAAAGAGAAAAAAACCCCAGCAAGCCTTAAGCAAGACCAGCATTCTTCTATATTTTTGCCTTGACAGCTAAAGGAAAAAATTGCCAAAAACCAGAGGCGCTGCTGAGTTGGCGTGGGAATGTTCACTCAGGCAGCCCCTCACTCTGGGCCACTTAAATAAAAACAGGCGTCCTGGTGGCGAATACCAGCTGGATGCGGCAAGGCAGCCCTCTGGATGGGACCCAGAAGGGCTTGGGGTCACACTTTCCTTGTCACTCTCTGCGCCCCTGCGCTCCCTGTCACACGCAGCACCTCCCCGGGAAAC